TCTGTAGAATGTCTTTGTATTTTGGTCTTTGTTTCTTTTGAGGTGCAGAAGCTTCTTAGTTTAAGATAGTCCCATTTGTTTATTTCATTGAGTTTTTTCAATATATCCAACCATTGTCGTCAGGGTTGGAGGATTTCCTCTGATAGGTCTGTTATAAATCTAAGGGGTGCTCCTTTGTATGTGATTTCCTTCTTTGACCTTGCTGCTTGCAGTATTGTGCCTCTATCCAAGGCATCTGTCATTCTGACTATGATATGCCTTGGAGTATTTTTATTAGTGTGCCTTTTAACTGGCACCCTTCTGTCTCCTTTGATCTGGATGTCTGCATTCTTTTACTCTGGGAACTTTCAGCAATGATTTCTTTCATTGTGGTTTTTCCTCTAGGGTTATCTCCCTGTTCTTCTGGTACTACGATAATTCTAATGTTATTCATCTTGGTGTCATCTTCTAGGTCTCTGATTTGCTTAGAGCTATTTTGAGGTCTTTTCCCATTGTTTTTTGTTCCCTATATGATTTCTGTTTCTCATCATCAAGCTCACTGATCCTGTCCTTGGCTGTAGTCATTCTACTTCTGAGGGTACCCAATGAGTTTTTAATTTCATCTACCGAATTCTGTATTTGTGATACTTCTTTTTGTAGCTTTTTTATGTCAGCTCTCATTTCTTCCTGTATTTTCTCGACTAACCATTCCACTGTTTCTTTTCTTCCTTTAATTTTCTTGATATATACTCCATTAATTTCTGAGTAGTTCCTTGAACATTCTCAGCATTTCATCTCAGAATTCTTTATCAGAGAGAACATATTTGGGGCTAACCCTTGTTGAGGACTTGGGACTTTTTCCTTCGTCCTCACCTCATAGTGATTTCAACTGCTTCACCTTGCTGTTCTGGTTGTCTAGAGGTAAAACCTTGGAATTCACTAGCACTGTTACTTCTTACTTCAGGCAAGTGTTCTGAATAAGGTCAGTTGATGGTGGTCACCCTTATCCCCTTCTATAATACGTCCTTCCTCTCAGGCATTATTCTGTGACTTATGACAGGCACAATGTGAAACAATGGGGGAGGTGCTCTTTTATATTTTGCTTATAATGCCTCTTTGAATTGAAGTTTACAACATGGAAAAGCTTTGTTTTCAGACAGTCATCTGATTCTCTTCTTCATTTAACAGTAATTCTCACTTGAGGATAAATAATACATTTGCTCCTACTTTTTATTAGTGAAACTTTAGAGTCTCTCAACATTGCACATGGGAACTCAGAAGCACAGTGTAGGCTGATGGCATCAAAACCTCAGTTTTTCCCATGCCAATTGCCAGGAACAATAATCTCACAACACTCACCATCTTAAATTTTACGTTACTCTGTATGTTCTTTATTTTCCTTATGAGGCCAATAGATGAACTGTGCCCTGGATGGGGTCACAGGATACAAGAATCAGATAGGAGTAACAGGATGGGTGTATAGCCAGGATTTTTCCAAAATTCCAAACAAATCGTCTTTGGGAGCTGGGTAGAAATCACGCAAATGTTGCTACAGTATTGGGATCTGCAGACTAAGATTGAGTGGCATCGTTAGAACAAACAGGGAAACTTGGTTTCTGGTCATTGGGAGCCTTGTTTATCTTATACCTTATTTTCCACCTTTTCTTTCATACATGCTTAAAATAAATCACAACAATGCTAAATATTGCCAAGGACAGGAGGTTTCCTAACTCCTAGGAGACTCCAGGGGTAATGTAGAGAGATATAAAGTGAAAGTCAGAACACTGACTCGGCAGTTTCCTGGGCTCATGGATCAGCTTCCTAGGTTTTCCCTGTGTCACCTGTTTGGGGGATTTCGTTGACTTGTTTGTCTGTTTGGTTTTTGGCAACACCTGGCAATACTCAGGAGTTATTTCTTGCTTTGCGCTAAAGATTCACCCCTGGCTGTCCTCGGGGATCTTAAGCGATGTCAAGGATCAAAACCAGGGTCATGAGGGTTCAAGGCAAACTTCCTCAAGTTGTACTATGGCTCCAGCCCCATAACTTGGTTTTATTGATGGCTAGGTATTAAAGGTGTTGCTCCTGCAGAGTCCCTACCCAGTAAGAAGAAGGTGAACTTAGGCATGTGGCAAACAGACTTTGAACCCCACAACAGTTTCACTTCTGGTCTGCACACTACGTTCGTTTCACTTGGGAGTTTCATCCAGTTTGATTGAAGACCGTGTTGATTCCTCAGTGAAAAGAAGCTGCTAAGGAGACTAACTATAAAAATGTGAGTGTTTGGGGTAGACAGTGTAAATGTAAGACCAAGAATGGCTCAATGAGCCTAAGGCCCGTGTTTGTGAGTGTGTGTTTATGTTTGTGTGTGGGTATGGTGGGGGAGGTGAGGCAAGAGAGGGAGATGGAAAGACAGGTAGATGGAAACACAGACAGAGGTGATCGAGATAGACACAGAGATAGAGATAGAAATGGATAAACATATGATATCCTCCTACTTGGGAATCCCTCCATCAACACCAAGAAGACACAGCCAAAGCATATTATGTTGATAATATTCTAGGATGTGTGTTAGATTTTGTGAACATATTTCATTTCATTCATCATCCTTTTATTCGACGATTGCCTCGAGCAAGCCCCAGTAACGTCTCTTTCATCCTAGCCCTGAGATTATATTCAAGGCTCTTTAGGAGAATGAGACCCATCATTGTTATTGGTATTTGGCATATTTGGTACGCCACGGGGAGTTTGCCAGACTCTGCCCTGTGGACAGGCTACATTCGATAGCCTGCAGTTTGTCCAAAGTAGGAATGAGATAAGATGTCATAAAAAGATGTCCTGATAGATGTGAACATATATTTTGAAATAAATATTTTCTGTAATATATCTGTCCTGAGGTTGTAATCTAGCATCTTTCAAAAAGGTGATTTTAATACTGTTGTGGTGTAAATAAATAGCACTGTAGCACTGTTCTCCCATTGTTCATTGATTTGTTTGAGGGGACCCAGTAACGTCTCCATCCTGAGACTTGTTGTTACTGTGTTTGGCATATAGAATATGTCACAGGGAGCTTGCCAGGCTTTGCAGTGAGGGCAAAATACTCTCGGTAGCTTGCCGGGCTCTTCAGAGGGGTGGAGGAATTGAACCCAGTTCAGACGGGCCACCTGCACCCAAGGAAAATGCCCTACCTCTGTGCTATCACCCCACCCTGTAAATAAATATGGTAAGGAAAACTGTCTGTATATAATTTTCATTGTCAACCCTTAAAATTATCTATAATATAAAGACCATTTTCTCAGGCCTGTGTAATATATAATTATTTGAGTTTTCACTTCTCTATAATAAATACTTGGAGGCCGAGACCTCCAAGCCTACTCGAATTGGAGTCGAGCATCTTCCACCCAGATCCTCCAAATTCCAGTAGGCGGGGGTCACACCCACCACCTGGCCCCCTGGCGCCGTGTAATCCCATCAGCGGCCAAGAATCAGAGACTATAAAATCCAGATCCCGGAACCATGCGGCCGCTTTTGCGGCCGCGCGACACCTTATCAGAACTTTTTTTTTTTAATGACATCTTATTGTCTCATTCCTATTTTGGACAAACTTGCAGGCTATCGAATGTAGCCTGCCCACAGGGCAGAGTCTGGCAAACTCCCCATGGCGTACCAAATGTGCCAAATATCAGTAACAATGATGGGTCTCATTCTCCTAAATAGCCTTGAATATAATCTCAGGGCTAGGATGAAAGAGACGTTACTGGGGCCTGCTCGAGGCAATTGACGAATAATAAATACTATTGGTTTTTTCACATATATGGCGAATGGTACCTTTGAGAAGTATTTGCTCAGTCATTTTGCTCATTTAAACCTGTTTACTGAAGTGGTATATTACATGTATGATCTGCTTATGTAAAACATCCACTGTATTTGAGGTGAGACTCACTTGGTAATATAAATGACATACTTACCATGTGGTTAGAGGTATTACCAAGATTTATTTTGTGTTAATGTAAAGTAATTTCATTAAAAAGAAAAGGTAGAAAGAGTAACACGCTCAAGAGAGACTCTGAGCTTCTCCAGTGGAGCAAGAGCACTGAATGACTTTTGGGAAGAGGTTATATGTGAATATCCTTCTCCGTGCCTTGGTTGGAAGTTCTAGGCCCATGTAAATCTTGTCAGGCATTGTCAAAAAGGAATAGTTTTGAACTTCTGATGCTTTTGTTACATTGCCACTGATTTTTTATTTTGATTTTTGTCTTTGCCACTGAAGGTTTATTTCTGGCTCTGCATTCATGGATCATTCCTGGCAAGGCAAACTTCTTTCATCCATTTTATTCATGCATTACTGATGTCATTTGATTCTGAGATCTTCTTACAGATTCTATCAGTTACAGGTTCATTTTCTCTGCTTCTTCAGAAGCTCTAAACAAAGCCCTAATATTCTTATCTCCTCAGATCAATTTTTCTTCCCTCAAATCAGGGCGGATAAAAGAATGAACATAACAGTTGCCTATTAGTTTACATTGTCACTCTAGAGTAGTCTCTTTGGCTTCATTGATCTGATATTGTTATTCCTTGTAGGTATGGGTAAATGCAATACCAAGAGGAATTTTCATTAGTCAAATATGACTCTACTGAAAATTCTTCATTGACAGCCCTAATTCCTAAGTGTTGCTACTAGCAGAAGCAATTGATCAGAAACAAAGGGTTCATGATGTTTTGTACGGTGGTAAATTTTTTTTAAATGCTTCCTAATATTCTTTCTCTTCTGATATTATTTGTGTGAGAAGAACATTCAGCTTCTCTCTCTCAGATTTCATCCAGAAAAAAATTTCTATGGTATGGTAGTTACATTAACCCACTAGATTTAAATATTTAAAATTATGTATTCCACATCCAAATAAGGCTCTAGAAGTATCAGTTCCATCAGAATCAGTTGACAAGTATTTATATCACTTAAAGAAAAATCCCATCTCTTTGATCTCTTCCTCTAGATAAAATATTAAAGATTTCCAGGAATAACCATGGCCTCAGGCACAGCTAAAACCATGAGGGAGGAAGCCACCTGCTCCATCTGCCTGGACCTGATGACTGAGCCAGTGATGATAGACTGTGGGCACATCTACTGCCGTTCTTGCATATTTGATAATCTTGAGAACCAGAAAAAGAAATCACCTACTCTGGGAAACTTCCAGTGTCCTCTATGTAGGACACAGTTTCAAAGGGAGAGCATCCGGCCCAGTAAGCAGCTAGAAAACATCATTGACACCATTAAGAAGATGGAGCAGGAGCATCGGTGTGAAAAACACGAAGAGAAGCTCAGCCTCTTCTGTAAAGATGATGGTCAGCTTATTTGCTGGTGTTGTGAGCGGACACCAGAGCACAAAGGGCACACCACGGACTTTGCTGCAGATGCCTGTCAAGAGTACAAGGTGAGCACTGTCTAGAGTGCTTCACCAAGTACCCATTCCTCTTTTGCATCCATGGACCTGAAATATTTTAATCTGAAATTGAGGATAATATTATAGCTTTCATCACTTTAGTCTACAGATAATCTTTATAATGGCTGTATATATATAGACATGTTAATGCATATACACTGAATGTTCTCATAATCTCCATGGACATTGAGATCTGTAAAAGATTTGTCCATTGCAAAACAACAGTGTTTTATGAAAAAAATCTCATAATTCCTTTGATAGTTCTGAACAACTGATAGGTATACCTATATACTCAGACAAAGTCGAATATATACTAATTTTATAGAGCTAGAAGATTGATTACTGCTTTTTTTAAAATTTTTTCCCCTTTATTTTATTTTATTTTTTTTTTACAGTTGTAGATTTACAATTTTTTGTGCTTTGGTTTCAATTATACAATGATCAGATACCCATCCCTCCACCAGTGCCCATTTTCCACCACCATGGATAATATCCCTCCCACCCCCACCCCCCATCCCCCCTGTCTCTGTGGCAGGGCAATCCCCTGTGTTCTCTCTTTCCTTTTGGGTGTTGTGGTCTGCAAAAGAGGCATTGAGTGGCAAACATGTTCAGTCCATAGTCTACTTTCGACATGCATCTTCCCTCCTGGGAGGATCCTCCAAACATCCTTTATGTGGTGCTCCCTTCTCTATCTGAACTGCCCTTTCCTCTAGGATACCCGGCTGGCCTCTAAGTTATGGAGTAATCCTCCTGGTGCTGATCTCAGCTATTCTTGGGTGTTAATCTCATACTTTGTTACTTTATATCCCCCAGATGAATGCAATCTTTCTATGTCTATCCCTCTCTTTCTGACTCATTTCGCTTAGCATGATGATTACTGCTTTTAAGATAGACAATTTTAACCTTATAAGTGTGCTCCTAAAATGGGAGAAGGTATTTTTTGGGGGGTAACACTTGGCGATGCACAGGGGTTATTCCTGGCTCTGCATTCAGGAATTACCCCTGGTGGTGCTCAGGGGACCATATGGGATGCTGGGAATCGAACCCGGATTGGGCGCATGCAAGGCAAACACCCTACCCACTGTGCTATTGCTCCAGACCTGGGAGAAGGTATTTTTAAAATATAATTTAAAGTTTGAAGCTTGCAAATATTCATGTAAATAATTTAAAATTTCTTGCCTAATGACTTTTTCATTAGATATTACAGCTTTTCCCTTTCCCTTTCTATTTTTGTCAAGAGTATTTTTGTAGCTGTGTTCTGTGATCCAGTGGTCATTTCATGTGACACAAGACCCAGAGGCCTGGCTGTTCAGTGCTCGGGCCCTTCAGTGCTGTGTACCACCAGGTCCATACCTGGCCATATCAGGAATAGCAGTCTCATATATGTTGGTGCTCAGAGAATATACCGGTCTGGAGATCAAATTCAGATTTCTATAACAGCATGTTCTCTGTCTCATTGATCTTCCATTTGAGTTTGGATTTAGGGACCATACCCACAGGTGCTGAGGGTTTACTCCTGACTCCATGCTGAGCATCCATTTCTGGCTGTGCTAGGGGAACCATATGCAGGATCAGACCAGGTATGCTTTTACAAGGCAAACACCTTAACGCCTGAACTATCTCTCAATCTGTCCCAGGCCTTTTTTGAAAAATTTTAGTGGTATTTGGCCAACCCTTACTTATAATTAGTGTTACTTATAGTACTAATAAAAATGTCAAGGTGACCTATTATCATGTAACTGAAACCCAAACATGAAAGTTTGTAAGTCTACAACTGTACCTCATGGTGTTTCACTATAAAAAAATTATGGGAAAAAAATTTTAAAAATGGCAAGGTGATAATAATCTTTTGTTTTATGGAATTAACACATTATGATATAAATTATTATTATACATTATTATATCTAGTTCTTTGAATAATGTTCACTGGGGGAAAGGTTAGCATTGTATACTTTAGACCATGGTTCAATAGAAGACCTGTTTTTTTAAATAGAAAAATGATATTAATAAATTTATCAATGTCTCATGTTGTTCAGGAGATGAAAACTTTTCTAAAATTTTGTTTATTAAATCACAGTGAAATACACAGTTACTAAGTGTTCATGACTGGGTTTCAGCCATACAGTTTTCCAACATCCACCCCTTTCACTGATGTACATTTTCTGCCACCAATTTTGCCAATTTCCGTCCCATTGCCTTCCCACGCCTCCCCACCAGCCTGCCTGAATGCAGACACTGCTCTCTCGGGGAATCAAATTTTTCACTTCACAGTCAGTATCCTTGAAAGTGTAAGGACTATTAAAGTTTCCAATATTATTTTATAATTGAAAGTTTGTTATCTCTCCTGAGATATCTAATAAAATAATTCAATTAATAAGCCATCATCAAACAATTTTTTCTTCAGGAAATATTTCAGAAAACTTTGACAGACCTTAGGAAAAAAGAAGACAAGAATAAGGAATGGCAAGGGAACATAAGAGAGCTAATAAGAAATTTTCAGGTAAGAATTTGAATTTATTGGCTTCAAATATATTACCCCTAGAGTTTAGATATGTGGAAAAATTAGGCAAAACAATAGGATGCTTTAATCCCACTTATCTAGACTTAAATTGATAAATCTCACATTATTTATTGTAATGCTTCCGTTGGTTACAAATATGAGAATTAAGCTCCTGTTCCTTTGATATTTCAGCAGTAATTCTTGAGGAGTCCTAATATCACTTAAGAAAATAAGTGGTGTCCTTACTTAGATTCATCTTGACTTGTATATAATTTTAAAAATCTCAAAGTCCCTTCCTGTTTGAAGCTTAAACCGGCCACTGTGACAAATTTGTCACAATGCTAGGTCTGGCATGTGATTTGCATTCTATGAAAATAATCTTCTTGAGGAAGAGGGTCTCTCCAGATGGGACTCGTATTCAAAACTTTCATAAAGGGTAGCAGAAAATAGTGCAAAACATCTTCAAGGTCAGACTAACGTCTATTTCTATGACTGACCAGGCTGCATAGGACAGAAACTCAGAACTTTACTTTCCACAGCGATGTAATCCAAAAGTCTATACTCATTTTTCACAAGTCATTTGCTTTTGAGGGTTTTTTCTTTTTTTTTTTAATTTAATCACTGTGAGATACAGTTACACAGTTACAAACTTTCATGATTATATTTCAGTCATACAATGATCAAGGACCCATCCCTCCACCAGTGCTCATTCTCCACCACCAGTGTTCCCAGTGTCCCTCCTGCAACCCCCCTTCTCCCCCCCCCACCTGTGCAGCGGGCATTTCCCTCTTAATCTCTCTCTCTTTCGTTTTGGGTGTTATGGTTTGCAATACAGGTACTAAGAGGCCATGATGTTTAGTCCATAGTCTACTTTCAGCACACATCTCCCATCTCAAGTGTTCCCCCACACCATCATTTACTTAATGGTCCCTTCTATATCCCAACTACCTTACCCCTAGCATTTGAAACCAACTTCCAAGCCAAGGTGCAATCCTCCTGGCCCTTATCTCTACAGTCTTTAGGTGTTAGTCTCCAATTATGTTACTTTCTATTCCACAAATGTTTGCAGTAATTTTATGTCTGTCTCGCTCTTTCTGACTCATTTCACTCTCCAAGTCCATCCACTTCTATGCAAATTTCATGCTTTTATTTTTTATAACAGCTGCATTGTATTGCATTGTGTAGATGTACCAAAGTTTCTTTAACCAGTCATCTGTTTTACAAAACTCAGTTTTTTTCCAGTTTCTGGCTATTGTAAACACTGCTGCAATAAACAAATATGTGCAGATGTCAATTAAACTGTATTTTTTGCATCTCTGGGATATATTCCCAGATGTTATATTGCTGAGTCAGATTGTAAAACTGTATGCAATACAATATTTCTATATAATCATAGAAAGATATTGCTGAGTCAGCTCTATATATAGTTTTTTGGGGAATATCCATATTGTTTTTCATAAGGGATGGACCATTTGGCATTCCTACCAACAATGAATGAAACCCCTTTCTCCCTGCATCTGGGCCATCACTGGTTGCTTTTGCTTTTTTTTTTTTGATGTGTGCCAGTTTCTGTGGTGTCAAATGATATTTCATTGCTGTTTTGATCTGCATCGCCCTGATGATTAACAATGTAGAACATTTTTTCATGTGCCGTTTGGCCACTTGAATTTCTTTTGTGAGGACTTTCCTGTTCAATTCCTCTCCCCATTTTTGACAGGGGCGGAGGCATTTTTTTTTCTTGTGAAATTCTATTAGTTCCTTGTATATCCTGGATATTAAGTACCTGTCTAAATTTGATTGGGTAAATCATTTCTCCCATTTCTTGTGCTCTTTCTCTATTTTTGGTCACTGTTTCTTTTGAAGTGCAGAAGCTCCTCAGTTTAATGTAGTCTCATTTGTTTATATTTGTTTCACTTGCTTGGTCAGTGGTGTTTCATCCTTTAATATAACTTTAGCTTCAATATCATGGAGTATTCTGCTACATTTTGCTCCATGTACCTTATGGATCAGGTATGATATTTAATCCATTTGGATCTGAATTTTGTGATTCGCAGTAGACAGAGGACAGAGTTCATTGGTTAGCATATAGTTTTCCCAGCACCTCTTGTAAAAGAGGCTTTTCTTGACCCAGTTCACGTTTCTTGCTCCTCTGTCAAAGATTAAGTGATCATATACTTGAGAGGTTGTGTCAGAATGTTCAACTCTGTTCCATTGGTCTGCAGATCATTTTCGTATCCAGTACCATGCTGTTTTAATTACTGCAGCTTTGTAGTACAGTTTGAAATTGGGAAAGTTGATGCCACCTATCCTCTTTTTCCCAAGGTTTGCTTTAGTTATCTGTAGAAGTTAATTGATCCATATGAACTTCCCAGAGTGTTTTGTCTATTTCTTTGAAAAATGTCATGAGAATCCTTATAGGGACTACATTGAATCTGTATAATGCCTTGGGGAGTATTGCCATTTTGAAAGAGTTAATCCTATGTATCCACGAACAGGGGATATGTCTTTAGTTCTTAGTGTCCTCTTATATTTCTGGAAGTAGTGTTTTTCCCTTTACCGATGTAGTTAAGCTGATTCCAAGGTACTTGATTTTCTGAAGGACTACTGTGAATGGGATATTTTTTGTAAACATCACTTTCTTCTCTTTCATTGTTTGTAGATACTTTTGGGTACTAATTTTGTAACCTGTCACTTTTCTATACAATCCTATTATTTCTTGGAGTTTCTTAGTGGAGACTTTAGGGTTCTCTAAATAGAGTATCATATAATATGCTAATAGCGAGAGCTTTACCTCTTCCTTTCCTCTCTGTATTCTCTTCATATCACTTTCTTGCCTAATTCTTATGGCAAGTACTTCCAGTACTATATTGAATAGAAGTGGTGAGAGTGAGCAACCTTGTCTCGTTCTGGGTATCAGAAGGAAGGCTTTTAGTTTTTCCCTGTTGAGAATAATGTTTGCCATGGTCTTGTGGTAGATAGATGGCTTCGACTATCTTAAGAATAATTCCTTCGACTCCCATTTTGCTGAAAGTTTTTATCAGAGATGGGTGCTGGATCTTGCCAACTGTGTTATCTGAATCTATTGATACGATCATATGGTTTTATCTTTCCTTTTATTGATATGAAGGATTATGTGGATTGAATTTCGAATATTAAACCATCCTTGGAGCGATAGCACAGCGGGTAGGGCGTTCACCTTACAAGCCGCCAACATGGCCGACCCGAGTTCGATTCCTCCGCCCCTCTCGGAGAGCCCGGAAAGCTACCGAGAGTATTCGATATGCCAAACAACAAAGTCTCCAATGGAGACGTTACTGGGCCCGCTCGAGCAAATCGACAACCAACGGGAGGGAAAAAAAAAACATCCTTGGATGCCTGGGATGAATTCTAATTGGTGTTGGTGCATTATCTTTTTGATGAGTCCTTGATTTCTATTTGCTGTAATTTTGTTGAGGATCTGTGTACCACTATTCATAAGAGATGTCGGTCTCTAATTCTCTTTTTTGGTGGTGTTTCTGTCTCCTTTTGGTATGAGGATGATATTTGCCTCATTGAAACTGTTTGGAAGTGTTTCTGCTTCTTCAACTTCTTGTAAGAGTTTAACAGGATTAGGAGTAGGTGAACTTTTAGAGGGCTTTGAAGAATTTACTAGTGAATCCACCTAGGCAAGAACTTTTCTTTTTTGTAGGACTTTTGATTACTATTTAAATTTCCTTGACAGTTGTCCAGGTATTCAAAGTCTTCTCGGGTCAGCTTTGGGACATTATAAGAGCCCAGGAATTTATCCATATCTTCGAGGTTGTCTTGTTTCTTGGCACAAAGCTTCTCAAAGGAATATTTGATTATCCTTTGAATTTCTGTGGTTTCTGTTGTGATGTCCTTCTTTTTGTTTCTGATTCTGTTTATTAGGGATCTTTCTCTCTTTCCTTGTGAGTCTTGCTAGTGCTTCATTCATCTTGTTGATTTTCTCAAAGAACGATCTCTTGTTGTTTTGATCTTTTGTACTATTTTTTTTGGTTTCACGTCATTAATTTCTACTCTAATGTTTTTTATTTCTTTCCTTCTGGCATGTTTGTGCTCCTTTGTTGGTCATTCTCCAAATCTTAATTTGTGAGCTTAAGTTCTTTATGTGGCATCATTCATCCTTTTTGAGGAATGACTATAGAGCTATAAAATTTCCTCTTATCACTGCTTTGTCTTCATTCTCATTCCATTACGGAATGTCTTCATTCTCATTCATGTTGAATTCTATTTGCTAGCTAGTATTTTGTTGAGAATCTTCGCATCCATTTCATCAAGGATATAGGCCTATAGTTTTCTTTTCTTTTGGTGTCTTTATTTCCTTTTGGTATTAGAGAAATATGAGCTTCATAGAAACTGGAAGAGTTTCTGTCTCTTCATTTTCCTGGAAAAGTTTGAGAAGAACTGGCAGTATTTACTCATTAAATGTTTGGAAAAATTCGCTAGTGAATCCACCTGAACCTGGGCATTTGTTTTTGGGAAGACTTTTGATTACCGTTCCAATTTTCTCGTTAATAATAGGTATTCTAGATCTTCTTGATTTAGCCTTGCGAGATTATAGGAATCCAGAAATTTATCCATTTCTTTTTCGTACTCTTGTAGAGCTATTTTGAGGTCCTTTGCCATTGTTTGTTGTTGTCTGTAGACTTCCTGCAGCTCATCTTCCAGCTCACTGATTCTGTCTTCAGCTGTAGACATTCTATTGTTGAGGGCACACACTGAGTTTTTTATTTTATCTACCGAATCTTTTATTCATGACATTTCTGTGCATAGCTTTCCATTTTCTGCTCTCGTTTTTTTTTTCTGTATTTTGATTGTTTCTTTCATATCCTCCTTTAATTTGCTGGATATCTGTCTCACTGTTTCATTAAGTTCATGATCATCTTCATTACTTCATATCTGAATTCTTTCTCAGAGATTTCCCTTAAGCGATTAAGAGCTAATGAGGTTTCTGGGCTGTTTTCATTGTCCTCTCCTCGTGGTGGGGATTTGTGTTGTTACTTCATGTTGATGTGGTGGTATGGAGACTGAAATGTTACACGAAGTTGTTGGGTATGAGTAATTTACCTGCAGTCACGTTAGGATTCACAGACCCCAAATTAGGTCACGCCCATTTCTACAGAGGCCACGCCCACTTCTGTAGAGGCAACGCTCCCTATGAGTACCTGGTATGTGTGTGGATACAACCTGTGTAAAGAAGAAGACTAGGCTCCGCGTTGGGGATAAACAGGAAGAGGCTCAGGGATGGTGGGCATCCCAGGGTCCTAGAGAATGCCTGGGGCATGTACACGGGGAAAGCGAAATCCTGGGTAGAATAATCACGGACCTGGAAGGAGAAGCAGACTGGGCTGTGCGTTATGGACGAACAGGAAGATGGACTCTGTGTTTGTTCTGACTGTTCAGACATGTTTCTTGCAGGTCAGAGGATGTTGGGTTCAATGTTCTGATCCATCCTGTCATTCTTTGTCTATTAATTGGTGCATTGAACCCATTGACACTGAAAAAGATTATTATTATCGGGTTTTGTCCCATCTTTCTGACAAAGTTTAGTGTATTTGTGGAGCTTGTCTTGTCTTAAAGTAGCCCATTTACTTGCTCTTTTAACCATGATTTTGAGGCTGTGAAGTTCCTGAGATGTTGTTTCTCTGTGAAGCCGTATATTGTTCCTTCTGATATAAAAGTTAGGCTAGCCCAGTAAAGTATTCTTGGTGCGGCATTTATTTCATTGAGTTTTGTCATTATAATCTACCACTATCTTCGGGGCCTTAGTGTTTCATCATATGAATGTGCTGTGAATCCTGAGAATGCTCCTTTATTAGAAATTTCTTTCTTTAATCTTGCTGGTTTCACAATTTTATCTCGATATATGGTTTTCATCATTTTGATAAGGATCTGTCTTGGAATATTTTTATTTGGATTTCTTTTAGTTGGTAAGCTTCAAACCTCTGAATCTGTTTGCATGTGATCTTCAACTCTGTTAATGTCTCAGCAATTATGTGTTTGACTGTTTCTTCTTCCTCAGGGTTTTTATTCCTGTCCTTCTGGGACTACAGTGATTCTTATGTTATCCCTCTTGGCTTCATCTTGATTTTCTCTTGTTATCTGTCATCTTATTTAGAGTCTCCTTTCCATTTTCTGCTATTATCTGGATATTCTCTGCAACTCATCTTGGAAATCACTGATTCTGTTCTACATAGCTCTTACTCTGTAGCGGAGACCTTCCACTGAGTATTTCATTTCATATAACATTTTCTTTAGGTCTGCCATCCCTACTTATATTTTAATTTGCATTTTCCTCACTTCTACTCTCATATTATCTTGATTTGTATCAGCAGTGCATTCCATTGCTTCTTTGAGATCCTCATACATCTTTTTAAATGTCCATTTTTAATTTCTTAATTTTTTTTATCTCAGAGGTTATATAACTGATGGTTACTGTTTAGTTCATCTGGGCTAGAAACTTAAATCATTAAGCCTGGTGGTTTCTGCATTGTTTTACCATTTTGACCTTTTTGCTTTGGAGATTTTTCCAGTGTTGTTTTATGTCTTTGAGCCTGTGATGGGATTATCTTTGAGTGTTACCATGGCTTATTGGTAGGTAGGTAAAGATATTTGAGACCTGGGTTAACTAGTGCCTAATATGTGGAGTGTAGGCACAGCAAATTCTTCATCTGCGTTTTTCTGTGGTTCGAGAGTTTTAAGTTATGCTGTGAGGGCTAGATGCAGGGAGGAAATGCGTTGGGTCAATCCACCTTTTGGTTTCCGTGCTCTGGGAGATAGCGGCTGGCAGGGTAGTGTGGTTCCAGGTGAAAGGCTGGGTAGTGGGCTCTGGCCTTTTGAGGTTTTCTTTCCCAACCTCTGCCCTGAAATCTTTAAGTGGATTCTGAATTTGGACTCACAGAAGGTATTCTTTCTTCTCTCACTAAAACACTCATGGGTTGTGGGAGGACAAATTTCTAAGACCCATGTAGAGAAATCCAAATCCCTGAGAATGAACCTTCTTGTTTCCCCTAAAAGTTATATTTAATAATAATTGTATGAAACTATTATATTTTGATTGGTTATTAATTTAGAGATAAAATTCCCCCATTATTTGGGCTATGCTTTATTCATTCTAGTCTGAATTTCTGAGGAAAAAAGAGTGCATCAAGTATAAGTTTAAGGTTTTTCATATGATCCTACACATGGAGGAGAAATCTTGTCTATGGAGACTGGAGAATGAAAAAGATAAAGTTCTCAAGAGACTGAAGGACAGTGAAGCAAAGCTGGAGAAGCAAAGCCAGGAACTCAACAAACACATCCAGGAACTGGAGAGGAAATGTCAGGGCTCAGCCCAGGAGTTACTGCAGGTGAGACTGTACACATGAATGAATGAAGGCATCAGTGCCTAGGGTTTTAGAGAAACTGGTGAGGAATTTGGAGAAATGGATTGAATTATTTTTTTATCCAAAATATTTTATTAGCCTCTACTTCCTCATCCTTTCTAACGCTGCCGTATTGGTGGCTCTTTCAGGGTCAGGGAAATGGGACCGATTGTATTTAGTGGTTTTGGCATATCGAATATGCCACGGAAGCATGCCAGGCTCTGCCGTGCGGATGAGATATTCTGGGTAGCTTGCCAGACTGTCCGAGAGTGATAGAGGCTTTTAGGGAGGCCTCTAATCGCCTTTGCAGGTGTTCACATGGTTCAAACCACATTTGAACCCCATCAAATATGGCACAGTAATTTTGGAGATGGGTATCAAGTGTCTAATGTTGTGTCCATAAAGCATTCTGGAGCATGGCAGCAGATGGGTAATGGAGGTAGTGGAGGTAGTGGAGGTCTGCCGATGAAGTATTTATCTGGTACCAGTAGGGTGGGTCTTCTGTGTGTAATCCCTGGATTTCTGGAGATTGGTGGAAGCAGACAGGGCAAGGTAGGGTGGGGCTTCTGGATTTAATCCCTGGGTCACCAGAGATTGGTGGAAGGAGGCAGAGGATCTCTGTCCTGGATCCTGTTGAGCCTGAATAGTGGTGTGTATAAATACTCTTGAATGAATGTTTTTGGGTCCTGGATCTTAGAAACATCTTGCGTGTTGCCATGGGGGCCCACGAAACCATTAACTGCAGGGTTGCAGTGCAGCAGAAGTTTCTGAGGTGGCCCAAGAGGGACCCCTAAATGGGGAGCAAATCTGTCCAAGAGTCACTGCCACAAACTGCCATCAGCTGAAGAGATGAAGGATGAGGAGGGCGAGGCTGATAAAATCTCAAGGTCAAACTAGGCTGGCAAAGTGAAGAAGGACAAAAACGACTGTCTGTTCTTTCAATACTCGTGTGCTGGCATCGGATTCAACCGTCGAGGACCTGATGGTACAACATTTATTGATTTAAAGAAGGCGTTTGATTCTTTTGAGATGGAAGTGGTCATTGAAGCCCTAGCCAAACAGGGCATTCAAACTCAATATATCCGGATCCTCTGTGAGCTGTATTATGGATTCACTACCAGGATCTCACCTTCTACAAGGAAGTGATCATCCATGTCAAGGGAGGGGTTCTGCAGGATGATGCCATTTCACTGGAACTCTTCAATGCCACTCTCGAGAACATGATGCGACAACTGGAATGGGAAGCAATGGGAGTGAAGATAGCTAGATGATCGGCAACTACACCACCTACGCCTCGCTGATGACATCGTTCTAATAACACAAAACATTAGCCAAGAGGCACAACTACTGGCAGACTTCAACCGTGTGTGTGGAAAGGTCAGACTACAGCTGAATCTCATGAAGACAATGTTTATGAGACACAGTCTCGTTCCTACGTTCCGTTCGCTCACAACGGAACAAACAACTCCAAATGCAACCGTTATGTGTACCTAGGTTGAGAAGTCAACATGACAAATGACCTGGCACCTGAGTAGCACAGGAGGAAGAGAGGAGCTTGGAAAACCTTCAAGAGCATGGAAGAAATAGCAAAGAAGATGAAGAACCTCTGACTCTGGGCACATCTCTTCGATTCCACTGTTCTTCCTGCATTAACATATGCCTCAGAGACCTGGGCCCTATGAAAACAGGATGAAAACTCTATTTGAGTCTCCCAAAGACGAATCAAAAGAGCTATGATTGGAGTATCCTGCTTCACTCAAATGAGAGAAAAGATCCAGAGTTTTGACCTCCATTGATGACCAAGAATCACGGACAATGTCTCATTTGCCAAGGTGTTGAAAATCAGATGGGCAGGACACATAAGGAGGTTTTGAGATTACCATTGGTCTAGAGCCATTACCAATTGGATTCCACAGGACGTCAAAATATTGTGTGGTTGCAAATCCGCAAGATGATCAGACTTCTTCATCAAGACCCTGAATGATCAGTTTGAGGCTGTTCATGTTCCTAGAATGAGCAGATGCCATTGGGCTACACTAGCATGCTACAGGGACAAGTGGAGACTGTACTGGCACCTGCTCGAGCAAATTGATGAGTAATGGGATGTCAAGTGATTAAGTGATCAAAAATATAAACAAGTATGGCAAATTTAAGTGAATTATTCTTTACACATGCCTCTATACAGATGTCCTCTGTTAGTCTGTAGAGTTTCTCTGTGAACATAAAGGAGCACATATGAGGCTACTTGGATAGATATCAAGTTCCAGGAAACATGAGAGAAATTTTGTAGACATCTGTTAGCATCAATCTAATTTCTAGAGATTTCTAGTGTGAAATTATCTCCTCAAAAATATTCTTGTTGACTGTTGGGGGTTAAAATGAGTCATCAAAATCATTGATAAACTTACTTCATGATTTGCTCCTGAATTTTGCTCAAGCAGGTATTATGAGGCTTATTTTAAGCTAGATTCATTTTAACACATGTCCTAGAATGGAACAAACAGGGTGAGAGACTGTCTGAGTTCATTATATCGACCAGGACCATCCATGGTAAATCATAGTTCCAGAAGGCTGAATCTAAACGTTGGACATGGGAGTCTCCCGGTGGACAATTCCACAACAAAATAGACCACATCATATTCAATCAACGGTTTTGCCTGACCGATGTTGCTTTTGTCCCAAAATTCCAAACTGGATCGGACCACCATCTCTTCGTGCAAAATTCTACTTCACAGAGCAGGGAGAAAGGGCTGCAAAGTTTAAACAGAGAACTCCCAGAACGACCACCAACTGGGAACTCTTTGGCACTATTATGGCAACATGGGAAGATGCCATTGTTGACAACATTGACGAGGAATACATTCAACTGGTTCAGCACCTCCATGATTGTGCGAGGAATGCCAAGAGAGAGAGATAGCCACAAAAAAGCCTGTCTTCAAAAACTCTTGAGCTTATTCACCAACGTGGTTTGGCCCATGCCTCAGGCAACTGCTAGTGAACGTTCGAGCTCGCAAAGCATTGCAGAGATGTGATCAAGGAAGACCTCAAAGAGAGAAGAGCAGAAGTTTTGGTAGATGGAGCAGAAGCTGGGAAAAGTATTCGTAACGACTGCCTGTCCTTCCCCAACTATAAGACCAAGATGACTGCCCTCCGACATCCTGATGGATCTATCACATCTTCCAGAATGGCAATGGAGAAGATTATCCATGACTTCTACTCAAATCTCTTTGATAGCTATGTCCACTTGCCGACATACCAAATTCCAAAGAATAGATATGTAGTTCCCAATGTTCTGCCTTCCGAAATCCGACAGGCCATTTCGTCAGTAAGGAAACGAACAGCACCTGGCCCAGACAAGGTCAGATCTGAACACCTGAAGAACCTGTCATCAGTACTCATCAATACGCTGGCTCGGCTCTTCACATGCTACCTGTCTGAATGCAAGGTCCCGTCCCAATGGAAAACCAGCAGGACCGTACTACTGTACAAGAAGGGAGACATCCATGACATTGGCAACTATCACCCGATCTGCCTATTGTCTGTCATCTACAAGTTATTCACTTGAGTCATCCTAAATAGGATTGGCAGAACACTAGATGAAGGACAACCATGAGAGCAAGCCAGGTTCCACGAAGGATTCAGCACCATTGACCATATTCACGCAATAACCAAGCTCATTGAGGTTCCTCGGGACTTCAAGATGCTGCTCTGTCTAACGTTCATTGATTTAAAGAAGGCCTTTGATTCTGTTGAGACGGAAGCGATCATTGAAGCCCTAGCCAATCAGGGCATTCAAGCCCAATACATCAGGATCCTCCGTGAGCTGCATTATGGATTCAATACCAGGATCTCACCATGCTACAAAGTGATCATTGATGTCAAGAGAGGGGTTTGGCAGGGTGATACCATTTCACCGAATCTCTTCAGTGCCACCCTCGAGAATATCATGCGGGGACTGGAATGGGAAGGAATGGGAGTGAAGATAGATGGTCGGCAACTACACCTCCTCTGCTTTGCTGATGACATTGTTTTAATAACACCAAACATTAGCCAAGTGGCACAAATGCTGGCTGACTTCACCCGTGAGTGCGGAAAGGTTGTACTACAGCTGAATCTTACGAAGACAATGTTTATGAGAAACAGCCTCATTCCTGATGCCCCATTCGCTCTCAACGGAACGACCATTTCTGAATGCAATAGCTATGTGTACCTATGTCGAGAAGTCAACATGACAAATGACCTAGCACCCGAGGTGCGCAGGAGGAATAGAGCAGCTTGGAACGCCTTCAAGAGCATCGAAGAAATAGCTTAGAGGACAAAGAACCTTCGGCTCCGGGCACATCTCTTTAATTCCCCTGTTCTTCCTGCATTAACATACGCCTCAGAGACATGGGCCCTATGCAAACAGGAAGAGAATGCTATTTGGGTCTCCCAAAGAGGAATTGAAAGAGCTATGCTCAAAATATCATGTTTCACTCAAACAAGAGGAAGAATCCGGAGATCCGACCTCTGTCAATGATTAAGAATCAGGAACGCTGTCTCATTTGCCAAGGTGTCAAAAATCAGATGGGCTGGTCACGTAATGAGATTTAAAGACAACTGTGGGACTAGAGCTGTTACCGACTGGATTCCATGGGATGTCAAAAGACTGCGTGACTGCCCACCTACCAGATGGTTAGACTTCTTCATGAAGATCATGAACGATCGGTTTGAGGCTTTTTGTGTTCCTAGAGCGAACAGACACCATTGGGCAACACTAGCATGTGACAGGGACAAATGGAGACGTTACTGGTGCTGGCTCGAGCAAATCGACGATTAACGGGAAGTCAAGTGATCAAGTGATCAAGTGATTTTAAGCTATAGTAAGGATATTGCACACTGTGGTAAATGCCTGGACTCCTTATTTTATTTTCATTTAGTATTCTATTTTCATGTATTCTATTTTCTGTATTCTATTTTCATGTATTCTATTTTCTATTTTCTATTCTATAGGTGGCTGTATTCTATTTTCATGTACTATATAGGTGGGCTGGAGCGATAGCACAGTGGTAGGGCGTTCGCCTTACAAGCGGCCAACATGGCTGACCCAAGTTCGATTCCTCCACCCCTCTCGGAGAGCCCGGCAAGCTACCGAGAGTATTCGATATGCCAAAAACAGTAACAACAAAGTCTCCAATGGAGACGTTACTGGGCCCGCTCGAGCAAATATAGGTGGCATTGGAAGACATTCCACCTCTGTGCAAACCCGCTGCCACCACCTTTGGGAGTCAGTCTCATGGCCTCTATGGGAATTCCCCTGTAAGGACTTTTTGTGAGAAATAATGTCCACTATGACCTTTTCAGAAGAAATGAGGTCACTGAATGCAACACGTGCCTAGTGAGCAAGTTTGAGATAATTCCAGTGTTCCCTCAAGAGATAACATCTGTTTGTCGAAATAATAATTCCCCGTGTTCCAAAAAATAACATAGTCTGAGGTTGATCACATACTGTCATGATAATATAATGGGTCAGTATTTCTCTCAAAAGCTGTGTATGCACTAGTGAAGGTAAACAAGGGTAGAGAGGTTGAATATCAATGGTCTATCGAAGTGCTTATAACTGCTAGTCTGTGGAATGATATGCAGATGGATGTTGGACCACATGTGGAATAGGTTGAAGAATACTTTTATTGGAAATAGAATAGGAATTGTTCCCTAGAAATTCACTAATACATTGATTAGAACCATTACATTTACTCTTTGGTGTAATTATAATCATCTACCTATCAAAGTTTTATGAAATACTACTTTTCCATACCAACATCGATCTTTCTTTCATTATAGGATGCAAGAGACACTTTGAACAGGTAAGTACTCTTGGAATTCAGGAGAGAAGATAGTAGCTATATGAAGCCTAATGGAATGTTTCTCTGATGAAATTTCTGGATGTTTCTCTAGGATTTCTGATATGAAGTTAAATGCACCAGAGGACATCTCGTTGAATATTCACACCATGCATGATTTTGACAGCATTTTCTGTGAATTGATAAAATTGTTTGAGACTGATTATGGTATGTGATACAAAAATTTTCCTGAATAATACAGCCGGGAGTAATATACTGGGCAACATATTGTACTACAGTTTCCTCTATAGGTTCTAGGTAGAGTATTGGTTTTCTTGATGACTTTTCAAGCTCTTTATCTCCAGCTCACTAGTGATGTCTCACAGGGAAATAACCTCTATATCTGTGCCATGTGAAAAACATAAGCACTAACACTTTCCAGTGGACTATAACAAATTTAAAACAAATCATCAATTACACAAAGTTTAGAGAAGAGGGTTCAGAACATAATGATTATACTTACGTTATTCAATTCCCAGTGTAATTCCAGAAAGTTTGATGAAGACTGACTATTCTGCCAGTGGTTTTAGCAATAGACTAGGTAGCATAATAAACATTTCAAACATTTGAAAACCAATTGCTACTTAGTAAAAATCTTGCTGTTTTGTCTTCATTCTTTCCATAATTAGTTTAATTCCAAATATCCTACCAAAAAACCTCTGAAACACAGATTTTTTCATGATGTCTTAGGCTATGAAATAAGAACAGTTATGACATTTTTCTTTATTAATTTAATGAAAATCTTGTGGTTAGAAATAATGCAGGGTCGGGTCAGAGCACAACATAGCAGGTCGAGTGTTTGTCTTGCATACAGCCAACCCGGTTGTGATTTCTGCTCACCAGATAGTCCCCTGAAGTTGGGCAGGAGTGATTACTAAGTGCAGAGTTAGGATTAAGTCTTGAGCACAGTCAAGTGTGGTACCAACCCCGCCCTTCTTTCCAGTAAGAAAAACATAAGAACTCACAAGGTTTTGGTAATCTTACTACAGCTCAGAGAAAAACTTGACCTGGACTCTAAAAAAATACTGCAATAAATATGATCGCTGGGCTGTGTTTTCACCTGGAAGCCAGCACAATCCACTTTCAATCTCAATGTGATTGTTGGCAGAATTCACTTCTAGATGCCTGTAGGACATGAGGTACTAGCTCTTTGTTGGTTGTAGGCAGGATGCATCACTGTGTTTCCTGAAGAAAACTCAAATGCTTGCACATGAGTCTCCCAACATGGTCGACTGTTTCTTCAAAATGTGGTAAAAAATAACTAGAGTCTTTAGCAAGTATCTGATAGAGTTATTAACACCGACATAAGAAAAGACAATAACAGACATGCAACACCATCATTTTTAGTGTTTAAATCCAATGTAACTTGAGTATTATAGCTTTCTGATCTGAAAATTTGTAATACAAAGTTTACAAAAAACGGAAGAGGGGATTATTCAAGTCACTGTTAGATTGTCAGTCTCAGAGATAAAAACTAATATAGTTCTGTTTCGGCAGCATTGTGTGTGTCTATGTGCTTAGAGTGTAGAGACATTGCTCTGCAATTGTGAAGAAAAAAATGATCTGAATTCTAAGACATGCTCTGCAGCATATGATTAATGCGAGAAAATGTAGTGTTCTTGTACTGTGAGAGCATTAAGCCATAACTGGGGTGATGATGGAGGCAGTTGCCAAATATATGAGCAAAAAAAGCTTCCAGTAATTAAGTTTTATATATTGGTTTAGTGTTTTTCTGCAGACAGTGTTTATCTCCATTACTATAACCAGTGATCAATCAGATCTATTGATAAAAATATGACATCCTTTCTCTATCTAAAATTAAACCATTACAGTATTTTTATTATGTACTAATTATGTATTAACGTATTGTTATAAATATGTAATTTCTAAATTTTTCTATCAAAAAATCTTAAGGTGTTTTTACTCCTGATTCTGAGTTCTGTTGCATTCTCTTGCATATATATGTATATAAAGATATATCTATATCTAAATATATATATATATGTATAGTGATAGTACAGCGGTTTGCCTTGAACGTGGCTGACCTGAGTTTGATTGCCCCTTCCTCTTGGAGAGCCCAGCAAGCTACTGAGAGTATCCTACACACATGGCAGAGTCTGGAAAACTCCTTGTGGTAACAAGAAGTCTCATAATAGAGATGTTACTGGTGCCTGCTCGAGCAAACCGATGATCAACGGGAGGACAGTGCTACAGTGATACTAGAGAATTATGCTGTTATAAGAGCAAAAATAAATAATGTCTATATCTATATTTATATACTGTCCTCCCATTGTTCATCGATTTGCTCAAGCGGGCCCAGTAATGTCTCCATCATGAGAATTGTTGTTACTGTGTTTGGCATATCAAATACATCACGGGTAGCTTGCCAGGCTTTGCCGTGCAGGCGAGATACTCTCGGTAGCTTGCTGGGCTCTCAGAGAGGGGCAGAGGAATTGAACTGGGGTCGGCTGGGTTGGCTGTGTGCAAGGCAAATGCCCTACCCGCTTCACACACTTCCTTTATCCAGTTTTCTGTTCTTGGAAACTTGAGCTGCTTCTAGATATTCACTATGTTACAAGTGCTGCAACAATCATAGAAGTGCAAATGTATTTTCTGAATAGAGTTTTGGGGCCTATGGGGTAGATGCCCAGATATGTAATGACTGTGTCATATACAGTTCATTTCTCAATTTTTGATATTTGTCCATTTCCTAAAAAGGTAGAACCAAAAGATCTCCCCAAAAAATGGAAGAATATTTTGTTTCCCCACATACATGCCAATACTGGTTGTTTTGTTTTCTTAGCTATTTGTCAGTCTCACGGGTGTGAGATGATATCTCATTGCTATTTTAAGATGAGTTTCCCTGATAGTAAGTGATGGAGAACATTTTCATATCCCTGTTGGTCATCTGCATGAATTATTTGAGGAAGTATCTGTTCATCTTTCATTGATCCTACCCCCCACCCTCTACCCCTCGTTCTTTTTGTCTCCCCATTTTGAATGGGTATTCTCACAAGGTTTATTTTTTAACCATTCAAAGTATTCAAATGTGTTCAATCATCTTCTGTTAAGAACTCATTGATGAGAGTTTAAAAAGTGAATTAATCAAAGAATAGAGAACAATGATTAAGGAACACTGGAGCAATTAGAGCTGAGATAGCAAGTTCTCACCATGCTGGGCTTCAAACACAGATGGAGGGATCTGAATAACAGGAGAGAGTGCGACCTGAGAGAGAGAAATGCAGACTCTCAGAGCACTGGAGAGAAGCTTCCAGAATAATGACTGTCACCCCACCTCTTAGTTTCACAGGTTCTCCCCAGCACTATCATTGATAAGTACAGTGAAATCAGGTAGAAGTAAGGAATCTGGTTTGTCGCAGTCCTGAGGTTAGAAACACAAGACATTAAAAGGTGGGGAGTGGTCTGTAGAAAAATATAAAGTATAGCTAAGAAGTGTTTCTGCGTTCTTTATTTCCTTTGTGCTTCTGTCCATCTACTTGATGTTTAACCTTTAACCAAGGATACTTTAGGTCACTAAAAGACTAGCTCTCTAGCTAGAACACTTTCTTATCATGTTTTATTTTTAAATTGTGCTGTGGGCTAGTACCATTATGACCATTCTATGTTTTCCTTTTTTTAAAACCTCTACTCAGATCAATGTTTGCTCTTTTTGTCCTTGGTACATCATTTTGTACTAATCATTGTGGTGTATGAGAAACCAAAGAGTAAATCCTGAAAGTATATCTGTATCCATGTACTCTCAGGACCCAATAGAATTCTTTGTCTTCAATAGTCATGTATGGAATTAATTGTATTTTCCCATTGTGATATTGTGTTTTGTTTTGTTTCGTTTCACACTTTGAAAATACGTTCGTGTCATTTGGGTGAATAGGAGGACTTTGGAGAAGAGAATTAGTAAATATTTAAAATATATTCATCTTGTCTTTGGGCTGGAGAGAAAGCACAGCGCTATGGCATTTGCCTTGTGCGCTGCAGGCCCTGCAGAGTCAGGTTCTATTCCTCTGCCCCACTCAGAGAGCTTGGCTAGCTACCAAGAGTATTTCACCCTCACGGCAAAGCCTGGCAAGTTACCCGTGATGTATTTGGTAAGGCAAAAACAGTAACAAGTCTCACAATGGGGACCTTACTGGCCCGCTCAAGCAAATTGATGAGCAATGGGAGGACAGTGCTACAGTACTACATTTGTCTTTGACATATATTAGAGTGAGAAAGATATAGATCATGTTAAATATGAACAGTTTAGTAATCAAGAGACTTCAGAGTCTACTGTCGCTACTACCAGATGTTTCACAATCCTACAGAATGACAGTCCTGTCCAGTTCTAAGCACCTATTAGCTTTACAATCCTACACACCATTCTTTGTGTCAGATATGATTTCTATTTCACTTTTTTAGCAATAATTTTAATTAAATTATCATCATGGCTTTCAGACACAAATTTTTCTTTTGATCATTGACTGATAACATTTGATTATTACTGAGTATTAAACATGAAGTAACCATATCATTTTGTTTTCTATTGTTTTTTATTTTAATAATTTCTTTGCAGTTAACATTATTGTAGATCCAGATACAGCTCACATTGACCTACTTGTGGAGAAGAATGGAATCATGGTGACTGGTGGAAAGCCCCAAGTGAAGCCTGACACTCCTGCTAGGTTTAAGGACTTACCCTGCGTCCTGGGATGTAACACCATCACCTCAGGAAAACATTACCTTGGAATGTTTTATATGGATGGATCTGAGTGGGACGTCGGGGTTTGTCTGGAAAATGTGTCAAGAGATAATGACAAGACACGGGATCCTGAGTCTGGATTCTGGGCCATCAGACACTGCAAAGATGATAACTTTGTAGCTCTTATGTCACCGATGACACCTCTTTATTTTTTGCAGGCCATTCATTTTATAGGGGTTTTCCTAGACTATGATGCTGGACTTGTCTCCTTTTATGACTTGGTAACTTGCTCCCATATCTTCACTTTCCCAAAGGCCTCCTTCTCTGAGCCTATCAGGCCTTATTTCTGTATTAGTGAAAATTCTTATATGGACATTAATGTTCCTTATTGGGACTGGAGTGGTAGCACAGCATTAGGGCGTTTGCCTTGCACACAGCCAGCCTGGCAGAGCCAGGTTTAATACCTCCGCCGCTCACGGAGAGCCTGGTAAGCTACCGAGAGTATCTCACCTGCGCAGCAAAGCCTGGCAAGCTACCCGCGATGTACTCAATATGACAAACAGAGTAACAACAAGCCTTAAAAAAGCAGAAACATTACTGGGCCCACTTGAGCAAATTGATGAACAATGGGAGGACAGTGTTTGTTTGGTTGTGTTCCATATTTGTAAGAAAATTGTAAGAAAAGATTTTGAGATTTGTAAGGAAAAGAGCATGGTATCTTTATTCTTGTATTCAATTCAAAGTAATATGATTTAAATTCTGTGAAGGAATAAATTTTGGCTTTTTTCTTTATTATTTCCCGTAACCTAGAATGATGCTAAATTTTAGTAAAAGGTAAAGGTAAAGGCCCTCCCGTTGATCGTCAATTTGCTCGAGCGGGCCCAGTAACGTCTCCATTGGAGACTTTGTTGTTACTGTGTCTGGCACATCAAATACTCTCGGTAGCTTGCCGGGCTCTCCGAGAGGGGCGGAGGACTCGAACTCGGGTCAGCCATGTTGGCCGCTTGTAAGGCGAACGCCCTACCCGCTGTGCTATTGCTCCAGCCCCTAAATTTTAGTAGATACCTAATATATTTGCATTAATTGAATGGATATAAAGAGTCGAAGCAAGGACCACAAATGAAGAACCTGTTTTAAAGGGAAATATTTCAAAGACCATACACTATCCAGTTGACTCTCTACAGTAGATTCAGTTTTATGAGATAAAAACTTGGCCTTGGTAAATTCCACCAGAGACTGATTTCTTCTTAGGAAATAAAAGCATGCTGAAACAATCCCCATTCTATCTCCCTAGCAGTGGCTTGTGAAAATGTTGGGAGAATACATTTCGCACTAAAGCAGTTAATCCCAGATCCTAGGACACGTTTATATGACTCACAACAGCAAATACAAGCTCAGATCAGAGAAATAAAGAATATAAATAGTTTTATTAGAAAAGAATATTCACGACAGCCTACTGTAGTCACAAGTTACCCCCCATGAGTGGCTCTCCAGCACGGCCATGGCACATGAACTAATTCAGAGCCTGGCAGCTTGTGGCAGAAAAGTGAATGGACTATGCATTAAACTACTGCACTATGCCTCCCTGAAGGTAAAAGGTTGTCTCTCTCTTCCGCCTTTCTCCCCCGACCCCGGCAGCAAGGTGCCTCAGAGCTTATTGTAAAGCCAGTTATGAGCGGTGATTGGGCAACTGCAGCCTCATGAAACAGGGGACGGTACTGGCTTGTCCTTCACACCCTACAGAGGCCACGAGTTGCCCTCCGCCCTGCGAGCAGTTCTCCAGCACGGCCATGGAACCAGATGCACAAAAACCAATATCGTAATCATATGGCTCTGGGCAGAAATTCCTCCAGACTTAATTAGTAAAATATCAGATATCTAAAATCATGGCGCTGTAGTTAAATGCATAGTCCATTCACATAGCACTGTAGTTTAATGCATAGTCCACGATAGTGGCCACGGGACATCATACGGTTTTCCTAATCAGCAATAAAAAACAAATCATTTTACCATACTTTTTCAGCAGTTTTGATTGTTGGGGGTAAATTCTAAACGATAGTGGTGTATCTTTTGTCGAAATGATGAATGCAATAAAAGTAGAGAGAGAGTTATGTAGAAATCATCTACCTCACAGGCATCGGGAGGAGTTGGAGGGGGGTATATTGGGCTTCTTCTTGGTGGTGAATAATAATTACTGGCAATGGGAAGGGTGTTTGATCATTTTATGACTGAGACTTAAACCTGAAAGCCTTCTAACTTTTCCCACGTTGATTCAATAAATAAATATAACCAAAAAACAAAAAGAGTATTCACTTACGAAACAAAGTCTACAGATCTCTCTCACTTCTGGGTTATATAAAAAATAAATAAAAAACATAGTATGAGACTATGTTTTTGAATAAAAAAAACATAGTATGAGACTAAGCCCAAGGACAGGAGAAATGGGGGCCATATTCACTGTTACATGTTTGGAAACTTGTCAGATATGTGTGTTGAAGCAGGGTGTGTGAGGGGATGTTGGGACAGAGAAGAGACTACTCTGACAATGAAGTTTGGAGATTATCACTCTGGATACAAATAAGTGCTGAAAGGAGGCAAAGGGATATAAATGATAAGCTTCAGTATTTGTTTTGCAAACCATAATTCCCCAAAGGAAAGAAAGATAGACCGAGAGACAGAGAATAAAAGTAACAGTTCCCGCAGTATACATAGACTAGGTGGGAAGTGGGTGTTGTAGGATGGAACCTGGGGACTTTGGAGGTAAGAAATGTACATTGTTGAAGGAACAGGGTGTTGACAAATTTTATGACTGGAATCCAATATTGAACAACTTTATATCTTAAGGTAAATCAATAGAAAGGAAAGAATTAAACTGAATGCACATATAAGGTAAGAATGAGGAGCACTGTTCCTAAGTAAGACAGCTTGCTTACTCTGAGTCAAATCTACCATAACGAGAGAAAGAAAACCTATTTATTTTCAATTTCTAATTTATAGAGCTGTTGCACACTGTGGATATGTGATGTGTTCAGTGACTGAGAGCGCCACCCAGGCCTCCCTAGCAAAGGAACAAGGAGACAGGGGACCACAATCTCATCATTAATATAGCCCATTTAATGCAGAGCTGTTAGCATACTTATAGAACATCTGAAGCAGTTGAGGTATAGGACTGCATGGAGGTGTGACTGATCATTTACAGAGGTAAAGTATGTCATTAGAGGCTATTCTCTTGGGAGCATTAACACAAGGAGACACTGTCTCCCATGGACATCCATACTGCTTTTCTCTTTCCCTTCTATTGTACATATTTAAAAAAATTAAGTTTACTACTTATTAATACTTGCAGTTATTGAGATAAACACAGTAAGAGACACAGATTTCAAGACTAAGTTCTCTAGGCTCCTAGGGAAAGCCCACAGGGCTTTACTGAAAATCCCAGACTAAGTCCTCAGTACAGAAGAGCTAATCCTTCCACATGGGGTCCTAAATAATGAAATCATAATTGTTTGCATCAAGACTAGGCTTTTATTCTCTCCAGACTGTCCCCTTTCAATGTCAGGGTAGCTAACCCGCTTGCCCTGGGACCATCCAAGTCCCACAGTGGAACCTCCCTTTGTGGAATGTTAGGGTTTATGGCAACCAAAGTCTGAGTCGAGTATGGCTGCCCATGAGTAGATATATATGAGCGAATCAACAACCAGATATTAATACCATAGCCTTAATGGTATTTCTGTGTTTACGTTAACAACATGACTCTATGGTAAAATGAATTATGATAGGGAAAATAGAACAGCAAGTAGTTCACTGGTATGACAAAGTCAAGAATTATCAGAAGTTTTCACTTAGTCATTAAAACAAAGGAAAGGTTAAAGATAAATGAGGGGATTGGAGGTTCTCATGAGAGCACTGCTGCTTCTCTGGGCGAGGTAAAGGGGCAATTGATTGATGAAGCCTAAAACACTTAGTGTCAATATCCAACAGTGATAGAAATAAGGGTGAATAAATAGGGGGAAGGTAAAGGCCCTCCCGTTGATCGTCAATTTGCTCGAGCGGGCCCAGTAACGTCTCCATTGGAGACTTTGTTGTTACTGTGTCTGGCATATCGAATACTCTCGGTAGCTTGCCGGGCTCTCCGAGAGGGGCGGAGGAATCGAACTCGGGTCGGCCATGTTGGCCGCATAGGGGGAGGGGCTGGAGCGATAGCACAGTGGGTATGGCGTTCGCCTTACAAGCGGCCAACATGGCTGACTCAAGTTCGATTCCTCCGCCCCTCTCGGAGAGCCCGGCAAGCTACCGAGAGTATTCGATATGCCAGACACAGTAACAACAAAGTCTCCAATGGAGACGTTACTGGGCCTGCTCGAGCAAATTGACGATCAACGGGAGGGCCTTTACCTTTTAAATAGGGGGAAGAAACACAGATGCAGAATAGATTTTTTTCTTTTGGAGTGTGGCAGTGAGCATTGTAGGGTCAGGCCCACATGCAGCTATGCTCTTGGTTCTGCATCAGGAATCAACCTGTCACTGACTGAGGACACATATGTGGAGCTGGGGATCAAACTCTGCTGTGTTGTGTAAAGTGCAGACCACTAACCCACTGTACTCTCTCTTCAGCCCTCATGTTATTTTTGCCTCTGGGGTCCCATTAACTGACGCAGAAAGTTTTCTGTCTCACATGGCAGTGTAAACTGAGGCCTTGCTCACCTGAGATGCTGGGAATTTCATGGGGGTCCACCAAGAACAGGGACATGAGTCTCTTCCCAGCTTACTCTGTTAACTTAAAGAAAACTCTTCTTGCCATAAAGGAATAATCTGAAATTATTTTAAGAGTTTTCAGGGCCCCCTAAAGGAAGAAGGCAGAGTGCCTTTCCTGCTCTCTGACAGGCCTACTTGTAGTATCAAAGAGAAATCTCCTCTCCTGCATCCCTTCCATATGTTTCCTATCTCTACTCCTCATCTATTCCGATTATTGAGTGTCAATCCCTTGTGTTGGCAAGTTTAAAAAAGATCAGCTAAATGATCTAGATATCTGGTGCCCCTCTCTCTCTCCCTCCAGCTTCTTCATAACAGTAGGATAATCAGCAGGGGAGATAAACATGTTCAAGAGACAATTTGGGTTTCTCCAGAGGGGAGGGAGCTGAGGGTACCCTGTACAATACAATAAGGAGTAGCACATTTCAAGTTGAGGTACAGATAAGCTCCAGAATGGCAAGTGTCTCACTTGTGTTTGCAAAGCTGATGCTCCTACTGCATTCTGCAGTGAAGAGGGGACTCCCACATG